CCTAACGAATTCGATATTATTAATTAATTACATTCGTTCGTATAATAATCACGGTGCGAATTTTTCACACTTTCACCCGTCCGATAATAAATATTCATCGAGGCCGTGGGAACGAGGGAAACAAAAGGAGAACTCGTTCCTCTTCGAACGTATATTAAATATATATATATATAAATACGTATCCATTGTTCGGAAATTTCGTTGGTGGTCGTAACGGAACAACACGCGCTTACTTTACTTTCTTTCGCTAAACTAATCGACAGAGATATATGTGTGTATGTATATGTGTATGTGCGCGTGTTGAACAATTTCGAATCGTGTCCGCACAGGATTATTGTTTTCAGGAATATATATCGATGCGCGAATCTAATGGAAGCGCACGATTCGTATCTTCTCTTCTTTTTTTTTTTTTATGTGCCTGCTACTTTTATATCTTATATCGAACAAATCATCCGATCGATGGATCCGCGACGAGTATTATCAAGGTGGTGGTGGTGTTTCATCGTGTTCCGTACAAATTTGCGGCAAGTTAACGACGACCAACGATCAACTAACCTTTAGGCGGCTGCATCCCCAGCTTTTTCATGCCTTCCCGGACCTCTTCGAGGTCCGTGTCCGAGACCCTCATGCTATCGGACACGAATTCGTGGCCCGGCGAATCGGCCAACGCGCTGTTACTTCCGGTCATCACGGTTCCGCTGCTTTCCTGGCCAGTGGTCACTTGAACTGTTCGCAAGACAACACTCACGGCTAAACTAGAGGGGACGGGTACCGGCCTAACGCTAAAAAGCCTTTCTAAGCTTCTACCGCTCTAATTTTAATATATATTTACAGCTTTTTCCCCCTTTTCTCTTTCTTTCTTTCTTTCTCGAATTCTCTAAATTCGTGCGATTTATGCGACGTGACTCATCGATTCGAATGTACAATACAAAGCCGCTACTTTTCTTCGTCTTCTCTAATTCTAATTCTAATTCTAAAACGTTTCGTTTAAAAAAGAAAAAAAAAGAAGGAAGAAAGAAAAAGTAAGTAAGAAAATTAAGAAGAAATTAAGAAGCTTCATAAAACAGAGATAGATATATATATATATATGTGCACAAGTATCAAAATCGAATCTCCAAGGAAAACTTCCAAATTTCGAGATCATCGAATTTCAAGCACGACTTAACCAGACGCCAGGGCGTTAACATCCTTCTCGTCCGAACGGTTCACGAACAAACGGAACTCTCGTTGAAACCGCGGCGAGCGTTGGCCGGAATCGAATTCTCATTTCACGAAAGGGAGAAGGAAGGAATGAACAGGGTCTGGAAGATAGCTTCGAATTCTCATTCACGGCCGATCATTCTCAGGATCGGGCAGAGAATTTCACCGATCATTCACCTCCTCTCCCACAACCTGCTCTCCCGTATCATCTCGTTTTATCCCATCCGTTCATCTCCCGGATGAAACTCTCATTGTTTGTTCCCTATCTTATCGAGGCCGACCAACGGATTCGCATTTTTCCGAAAATTTTCTCCGCCGACAGGATCGATTTTACGAATATCACGAAACGTAATTCGCAACATTGTCCACCGTGAATCAACGCATCGTTTATAATTTTGACGCGATAAACTGATGAATTTTTCATCCTACGATAATTTATTCCGATCCATCAATGCGCGAACAGTTGGTCCCGAAAACTGGTCTCCATTATAATATTTCTAATGCTTGATCGTTGATGCATACGATTATTCCATCTTCTTCTTAAACCAAAAATTAAGTAAAATTATAAGTAAAATAATAAATCGCCTTTCGTGAATCGCCTTCTTCTTTCTATAAAATATATCGAGTGCCACGGCGGGGATTACTTTTCTCATCAACTGTATCTTTGCATAAAAAAACGAAAATCCGTGGATTAAACAGTTTTTCCATCAGCACGGATGAATCTACGCATAAGGCATAAATTGTGCCATGCAAGATTTTATCTCGTCTCGGAGATCGCGTTCGATTCGATCGTGGACGACTTCTCTTTTCTTTCATCCATCCGTCTCGATCCGTTCACGCATCACAGCGACGACGACGACGACGAATCGGTAAAAAGAAAAAATTTTCTCGGCGGAAATCGGGAATTATCGTTTCTTATTTTTCGAGCAACGCGTCGAGGGAGGACGTCGAGAGTCAAGCGTGCTTGAAATTGCGATGCGAACTGTAAGAGACGTGCACACATACGCGCACACGCCTGGAAAACAACAACCGGAAAAGGTGGAGTTTGTGTGTGCACGATCCACAACGCTGCCTCCACGTTCGACCTTGTACGTAGTAAAGTGACGTCGACGATGGCTGCCTATTGAATATTGCGATATCATCCATGCTTTGTATCGGTTTTTTCTCCATTTCCCTCCCTCCTCTTTTTTCTCTTTTTTTAATCTTTCACGCGTGATTTTTACGCGGCGAACAAAATCCTACGATTTCGGTTGCTCGTAAGCCTCGTTCAAAGCGTTTTCGTTCATGAATTATGCAACGGCAGTAACGACGCGATTGTAGAAATTATTCAAACATGGAATAAATTCTTTTTCAAATTAATATGGTTGGCGAGAAGAAAAACGCGAAAAACGCGATCTCGATAAAAGTTTGATCCGGTTAATCCGAGAAATCTATCTCCGGCCATATGAAATATGGATTTCATTTAACTCTGGGTGGGATCGAGCCTCGACTCCGTCCTCTGAATAATGTAACGTCTAACATCCCCGTCCCTTTACCCCTCCGACTATCCATCTCATGGTTAATCAAGAATCTACCAACAACCTCGAATTATCAACAACCATCGATGTTGCACACCATCGTGTTTCGTGTTCCATTTTGAAACATCTTCGTTGCCCTCGAAATCGGGATGAAAATGCGAACGTTCCATTCCAGGATCGCGATGCGGATCGATGAACTCGACTTACCTTCAATCCACTCCCGAAACTCCCGTCACAACGAAAAATCCATCGAGAAAAGGGGAGGGAAACGAGAAAGAACACGCTAAAGAAAAAAAAAAAAAAGAACAACTACTGGATGCGTTTCGTTTAATGAAACTTGATGAAACTTCCGTTCGGAGAACGACAACGAAGACGTTTCAAATTTGAAAAGGGACACTTTCAAGAGAAAAAAGGTCGAACGAGGAAAGAGTTGCGCGACAACTGTATCGCATTTTATCGCGTGGCAATCGAACGAATGATAATAGCGATGACGATAATTTAAAAAAAAATAATAATAATAATAAAAAGAAAAACGATGGATATGGATAATAAAAAGCGTAATAAAAAATTGTTTGTCCAGAGTTTGTTTCGAATTACCTTCAGCTTGATCCACGGTTCCTGCGGATGTTTGGTTTAGGTTGTTTTCCGCCTGGTTGGCCATTGTGTTCAGCTCGTGGCTCTGGCGGAGTACCGACACCCGGTAGAAGTAGTTCCGCCAGAAATTCTCCTCTGATATTCTGTGCAACACGGTGTCGCGGATTAATATCCATAGATCGAGCCGCGTCGAAACAGTAGCGGATTCCCCGTAATCGTACCCCGCTTTGGAAATTGCCAATTAACGCCACCACCGCGGATTCGTTTAATTTAGATGGTGGATAAATAATTGATTCGAGATTCGCGCCTTGAGGTGTATTTGGCAATTATATAGCGTGATAAACGTGGCTATTGAACGGGATGTTTGGAAGAGAGATTTCGTGTATTTAATATACAGTTTCTCGTTTTTAATATATTAATTTTAATGAAAATTAATCTTGCCATTATTCTGGAAATTCGTAAGTTCGGCTATCTTTGGAATTGAAAATTGAAAGGAATTCTAGATCTTTTGTAAAGATTTTTGACAAGTTTGAAAGAAGTTAGGATAAAATTGGAGATATTTGAGAGATTGTAATTAAGCGTGAACACGAGAAGATTTTTCTTCTTTAAATCCAATTGCTAAAAATTTCCCCAAGTTTGCGAACGAAAGTAATTTTAATTGCAATTTTCGAAAACAGCCGAGAATTGTAGAACGACAATCGAAGTTACACTTACACTTTCGGCACCAGTTGGAACCTCATGTTCTCCAAATTCGGATCCAAGGCGAGAGTGGCTTGCGCCATCGGTTGTACAGCCTCGAAGTCCCATGGGAAATCGACTTCCTTGGGCGGGGATTTTAAGAAATTGCGTTGATCCTGAAATCAATTTTTCCAAATTCTTTTGCACGTGTCCCAAACGCGGTGAAATTGTGCAATTGCGTGGATTTCAATCACGGCCGAGATATATCCTCACCGACTTTGTTCCAAGAAGCCGCAATTAAAAGACGGATCGATCCGAGTTAATGGAATACTTTATTAGCCGGAAGAAATCCAATTGCGGTCTTCTCAACCACCGTTCCTAATCGGGACACGATCTCTTCGATGTAATTAACAAAGAACAATTTATATCACCGTGGCCAGTGATCGTGCTCGTTTGTTATCAGATATGCGATAGAGAAATATCTTGGATTCGATCAAAATTGATTAATTTTGATGAATTAAAAATTGATCAAATTGATCCACCTATTACAACCGAAAAATTATATAATTTCCAATGGAATCAAAATTTTATTCACTTCGATTATTTCTCCCATTCTCTTCTATTATCTATATATCAGAACTAAATCGAATATGAAATCTTCAACGAGTATTTATAAATTAAACTAATTATCTAATTATTCAATTGCAACAACTGAATTTGAATCATCAAAGCTACGAGCTCATAATCATATAACATCCAACGATCCCCGCGCAAATAAAATCTCGGGAGGTGATACACTTTAGAGAACACACGCGAGATGATATTCGCTGGAAACGCGCGACGATGAAAAGGCCATTGTGCGTCCAATGCGAGAATCCAATTGCGCGAAGCACTCTCTGACGATCCTCGTCGTTCTTCCCCCCTCTTCGCGTGTTCCACGAATAGGAAAAGGAGGAATTACTCACCATGGAGAGAGATAAGCATTCCTCGCGGAGTATGTCCTCGTTAGGTGCGCCGACCCACGGTGCCACGGCCTCACCCTTTTCGGTGTGCTTGTTCGCGATGAAAGCCTCCTGTTCCCTGTTCAGCTCGGCGACCAATCTCTGCAATACCATTAATTCACCGTTACAGAGCATCTGTAGTCGCGGCTGTAATGTGTTTCACCAGGGGGACGGAGAGTGCAATTAACAGTGTCATCGATGGGATAGAGAGAGATGGACAGAGTCATGTTCACTTCTCGGTTAATTAGATCCCGTTCTTATAGCCGATTTTCGACGATGATAATAATAAGATCGAGGATAAGATCGCATTGATGAAAACAGCCCTCAAAGTCTAAGAGGCTAAGAAAATATCGTTAATTGAATGAGGTGGTAGCTCGAGATGCTTAGATTGGATGTATTATTGGTGGAATCTGGTGGAAGGAATTTTGCATACGCGGTGTAATTATTTTTTCAAATTTGAAAATCTCCTTGGGGATAAGGTGAGATAATATTTGAAAAAGATCCTTGATTCAAAATATTTCTTTGATACTTGATAAAAGGAGAATCACAATAGAATTCGTGAATATTTTTAATGTGATTATTATTCTTCAGATTTTGGGGCTACCTCGATATTTCGTAAAAGTTAATATGATTTTTATTACTAAGAGTTGAATCGAGGCCATGAATCGGATTTGCATCGTAACGTACCAATTATTTCCAAGCTTATTTAGAGCATCTGACCTAATATCCAGAGAGAAAAATGATGATGGAACGTACACGGTTAAATATAATAATCGCATACTACGAGTTTCTAGAGGAAATGCGGAGATCTTATCCGTGGAACAGTCGCGTGCGAAACTAGCGTCAATCAAAAGCGGCTTCATGCGACCTTCCACCGTTTATTAGATTTCCAGTAGGAAACGTATCCTGATTTTATGGGGAGGGTTTCTTCGGAGAAACCGAGTTTATTATTCGCTTGCTTGTATTTATACGGAATAAAAGCTACTTATTCCAAATTACGGTCGAACTAAATTCCCTTCGTTGTTCGTTTCTCTTAAATAAAATTAAAAAAGAAGAAGAAGAAAAGAAAGAACGGATAAGCGTGAAACGAGGGCGACGTGGAGGTTACAATGAAACGAATGACGAGGTAAGAGGGAAGAAAAATGGACGAGTTGGGATACAGGGGAAAGCAGAAGGATTAGAGGCAGGCGGTTGGAGGAGGAGGTAAAGCTCCATCGGACTAGTCGTCTTATTATCGCGCTAGCATTTGGGTCAACGAAGATCTTCACGATCTCGATGAACCCGATGCTGGGGACGTGGTATTACGGGGTTAAGAGTTAAGAAAATCGGTGTCGTTGTAGTAACCGACGATCAAATTAACTTTTATCGCTGTATCGTGTTTGTAGTTGGATCAAAGAACTCTTGATATCGCCTCAGATAATTCTCAGGCTTTTAACCTCTCTATAATTCTACGCGAGATAAAAAAAAAATAAACGTATCTATATATATATTTTTTTAATTTATTAATGTGTGCAAATGCAGCAGTGTTAAATTGTTTATGAATTATTCAAAGATTGTTATCTTACAAGGGACGGACGAAAATATGGACCTCCATTTTTCATAGACAGTCGTTAAAGAGGTGAAAACAGCCCTTAAAGTTGGGCTAAGAAAAATTGCCATCATTCTTTTGAATAAAACATCTATGAGAATCCTCCCTCGAATAATTTAACACCGGCCAATCCTTTTTCTAATTACCCTCATCGGTACCTTAAAGGATAAAAGGATATCGTTAATTGAATATAGCTAGTTTTCCAGACTTTGCCTCGACAAAGGGAAGAGAAATGGATCACCAAGTATCGCGCCGTTCTGAAATTTCTCTCTCTCTCTCTTTTTCTCTGTGCCTTCCATTCGCTTGATTCACGAAGATTATGCCAACCAGGCCGCAATTTCTCTCTGCGATCGATCGAGTATAATAACCGACGAATAGTTATTTCCAAGATCGTATTGTCGCGTTCAGACGATTTTCCTCGTGAAAAGTACTCGTTGAAATGGCGTCGTATATTCGCGTGACCGCCGGTTATAAAAATTCGTTGGGGACGTGTACACAATTGTGAAAAAGTGACGTGTTTTGCCCATCGACCCGGTGGAGTAAAAATAACCGATTTTTCTGGGCCATCCGGATGGTTGGACGACAAATTCTTAAATTCGAAGCGGAAATTGGCACCAATTATGGAGTAAAGCCATAACATTGGAAAGACTGGTAAATCTTCTTGGAACGAAGCTTACGCGAATCGACAGATTTTGGAGGAATCGTAACCAAGAGATAATCCGTATGACGGCTGATCCGTGGTCTGGCGAACCACTCGATATCCACGAGAGGTTCGTTTCTTGTGGCCCGTCGAAGAGCAAATATTTAATCGAAGATAATCTTACGGATAACTGTGTCTGATCGGGGATTTGAAATTTTTAAACGAAACATTCGACGAGCAATTATTATACAGATTTATTCGACGTGTGCTTCTCAATTAAATGAAAATGAATGAGACGTAAACCCGTATTTAAATAAAATATCCAAGTAATTTAATCAGCCTATCGAACAAAAGTGATTAAAGCACACACTTTTGGCAAATCGAAACCCCTTGAAGCGATACTTCATTTTTCCAGTCAAAGCTTTTCAGAGAGGATCTATCGACAACTGATCGCCAGGATTTTATTACACGGGCAGAGTCGTTCTAACTGTCGGTGACCCACGAACGATGGGGTTAAAAATGGCGAGGATTACAACGAAAAAAAAAAAAAACGAACGAAAGAAAAATGGTGCTCGATCTCCGGAACTCTCGCTTATTCAACCATTGAGATTGGCGACGTTTGAACGTTTTCGAGAAAGAGAGAGGAGAGAGTTTTAAATCTCGAAATAAAAATATCGATCCCCGTGGATCCTCCTTGTGAGAGTTCAACGAAGAAGAATGATGCACCGCGATGATGCGCTGTCCACGCCAAGTGGAAGAACTTCGTTGACCTAAATACTGAAAGATAATAAGGGAGGCTTGGCGAACTTGATCCTCGTCACGACAACGAGCCCCTCCATCTTTAATGCATTAGGGGGATTCCTCCAGTTGGATTTCGCCGAGTCAGAGATTACTTGCGAGATTCTTACGGATCTTGTCCACGTGTCACGATCGTCGTTTGTATTCTGTCATCGTTTCAGTCATGCTCCGATTTAGTAGTCGGATCAACTTTGAATTAAAATTCTGTCCTTTTTGAGCACTGGAGAAAAGTTTCCTAATTGGAAACTAGAAATTCAATTTTATTATTTCTTACTTGAAATTAACGCTGTGAATACATCAATCTATTAATTTTAATTAATTGAATCTTTGATCTCTAATATCTTCGAAAATTTGGAATCTATTTTTAAATCGAGTCTGATAAGGCGATTATATATATATTCCCAATGTAATTTATAAAAAAAAGAAAGAAGAAACGTATTTCTCGTCATATTTTCCACGATCGATGATATTGAACGCGAGATTTAATCAGAGATCACTGGAAGTGAAAGTGCCGTTGAATTGGACCAAGCGAAAGGACCACTCGTCGTTCTAAAATTTCGATTAGAAAAGAATCGGGGGATTAATTTCTAGCTCGACCGATTCCGTCCTCCTCTTCCGTTCCTCGAGGCAAACATTTCCTCCTCGCCTTGAATTCGATTTGACGCTTTTGTTTACCGTATTCTATTCGTATTCTAACCCCGAGCAAGCTTGGAAACTTGGAAAAACATCTTCCGGTCTGATGGATCGTATCCGATAAATCGATACCCGGGACGAGAAATCAAGCCGCAGAAATAGCGAAAAATTGAACGGTGCAAGCCATTGAATCCTTTTCGAATCGATCGAAATATATTTCTATTCACGATTAAGCGAAATAACGAAAGAAACTGTGGATGAATATTATTGACATAGGTGTATAATCCAATATGTTGAAACTTGAACGTGTATCGTGACGGATATTAAAAAGATCTAGGCTATTGATTAAATAAGGAATAAATAATATAGCCAGGTGTAACATACAAGCGTATTTGTTTGTTATTTCAAATAACGGGAAAGATTAACACAGAAATGTTATAATATTTATATTCTCCTTTTTATTCTGTTTTTTTCTCCAAGTTCCATTTTGCTTTAAGAAGTCGCAATAATACGACTATTAATATCGGTAAATTCATTTCGTGCGAGGAAAAGAGAGAAATTGTTTGGAAAATGCTCTTATATTTATATTTCTCGTCCTTTTATCGTCGTATTAATCGTGCAAAAGGAAGTACGAATCTAATGGAAAAGTTAATGGAAAATTAGCCCCGACAAACGCGAGGATATATACAATAATATATATATATATATATATATATCCATTCAACGTGACCCCTCACATTTATTCCTTCCATGGATAATTCTTCTTCGACTGTAACCATTTGCGTACATCATCTCGATACAAAGACGAAGCGGACGTTGCTTCGTTTGAAAACCCACACTCTTTCAAATCTTAAGGACGAATTGAAAGCGCGCGTTGAAAAACCATTGGATGAAAAGCTTATCACCGATGAGACGGATACGCCACGACCTTTTCGATTAATGCCCTCGTTTCGAAACTTTCATTTTTCTCAACTTTCGTCTCTGCTTCCTTTTCTTCCTTCTCCCCCATGCACGTATGTACGTTTCTTCTTCGCATACCAATTATTATTGTTCTCCAAAATTATTCTCTTCGCTACTTTCTTCCACGATAACACGAAATATCTTTTGTCAATTTAGACAACTGGTTCTCGTTTGAAAAATACAATTATAAAAATACAATTATAAAAATACAATTCTTCAAATCCTTTGATTGATCAACTCTTAACCTGATAATTCAAATAATATTATCCTAGATTCGAGAATCTCGTGAACCAAGGATAACGCATTATCCTCCGCTCGTAAAATTTTCACAGGGTACACGGAAAAGTACTTAGATCCAGCTCGGATCTCGAATAAACTTTATCCGGAAATTTCGTTTTTCATCGTTGGCGAGTTTTCCATTGGTTGACGACGTTTCTTAACGAAAAATCATTTTAATCGTGGACAGCACGGGTCGATGAGAGG